GTAATAAACCGAAAAGCTAACTGGCTAATCAAACCAAAAGGTAAAGATTCAGGTCTCTGGGTTGGAGTAAACTTGGAAACACAGGTGCAGGAATAAGTTTATGGCATGAAATACACTAGGGATTATGTTTATGTTCTGCATGAAGTATACGAGAAGGAGCTCAAATAAGTATCAATATAAGAAGGGATTTCAATTTCAATGGATGGAGATTGGACGGCAGCACGCGACATCTAACGTGCGGAGTTTACATGACTCCAAAAATGATACCACGAACTGAAGTGATAATTAGGGCTAGCGTGTGCACAACCGACGCAGCCCCCCAGACGGAAAAGGAAGAACTACCCTCCACCCCTTTCCCTAGGCGTAGGAAACTCCAAGAGGAGATTGAATGCGAGAAATTATTTCAATATCTAATTAAGCAATTACCTCTAACGGATAGGATAGACGTTTCCATGGTCTGATTACAATATTGGAGATGAAAAATGGCTACCCCATTTGCCTCAAGGCAATATCACCATTGTACAGAAGCACATCTTGTCATAATGAAGAAGCGACTGTTATTTGCATAAATTACGATATGGAATTGAATTAAAATAACAATCTCAAAATTGGACATCGGCATTAAAATCTCCACGCAAATATTTAAGACGGGTTTTTAAGAAATTAATGTTTGCCTCAAAAGGAGCGCGTTAAAATCTGGCATGGCTTCATTTATGATCTCTTTACTTCTCAAGATAGCACACAGATTGTTTCCTGAACCACTTATCTATCGAATAATTATCTCGTTTCTACGCTACGGTTAATATTGGGACCATTTCGTAACTCAATTATGAAATTCTCCGCCAAGCTTTTTTCATTGTAATTTATTTACCAAATTTATTTTTGTATTTATAAAAGTATGTGAATCGGTACGGAGCTTCCGTGATTGCGCATTGCAAATATAGATTGTAAATACTACGAGGTAGTTGCTCCGAGGCACGTGCACATGTGGGTGATGTTATCTAGTAACGATATCGATTAGTCATCTCCTTCTCTAGTAAGACTTTCGAGCGCCGCGGCGCCAACCAGTTTTAAGATGATACATCTACAAAGTGAGCGTAAACGGCACGAAAGTCTCACGAGCAGCACTTCAGAGCGATTGCCACTTACGACGTTACATATCATCCCATCTCGTAACGCAATTTCAAAAGCGCACAAACACATAAAGCTCAAATAGAAAGGACAATTTCAGTAAATCTAATTTTATTTAGCGGAGAAAGTAACGCGTTCGCGATAGATGGGGATTAATTGGAATAAAGAGCACATAAAAAAAACTCTTTCTCTCCTTTGAGCATTAAATTTAAAATATATAGGGCGAAAAGGTATAGAAAGAAAGTAAAGCGGCGATGAATTCGAAATAAATGTAAATTCGCGGTTGAAAAATTGCGTGAGCAATGGGAATGATATACAAAAAAAAACGGACATGATACGTGAAAACTTCAAAGTACAGGAGGGGTTGTTTCCTTAAAATTGGGATTATGTTAAGCAAAAAGACGTACGAAGAAAAGTTTTATACATTAGTCTTAGACTTCTTTCTGGAAATTTTCTTTCTGCGCTTTTTTTATTTTCCTGTTTACTCAGAAACTAGCAAATAACAATTTCATATTTTTGAGATTCTACGAAAGTTTCGTGGAAATTAATGTTTGCATTGCATTTACATGTAGAATAGGTGCCATTCTTACAGCAAAAGAATAGGACTATTCAATGCTAGAACTTCCCGTTGTTCGATACTGGAAACCTTCAACTTGAGATACAGTTTCTATAACAAAATCAGAAGTTAATTACTAATTACTTAATAACAAGTAGATGATTTTCATTATTTTTATCGTTATCCGCAGAGGTGAATTCATGAAATGCAAAAATAAACAATTCGTTTTAATGGGTATTTTTTATTTTTTTAAATTTATTTTTTGGTTTAACGAAACGTTTCTTACTTCTTGGCATTTGTATCCCCTGAAAAATACACTTCAATAAATAAACAACCGCGGAAAGTAAAAGGCTATTGCCGTTCATCAAAGAAAACCGATTAAACTTTTAATTGCGTTGATCTGAACTCAAACCAAAATCAATGAAAAGTAATACGAAAGAACCGAGACACCGTAAAAGTAAACGATTAAGTAACACGGCTGCATTTACCCTTACGTATGCTAAATGAAACTAAAGTAAATCAAAACTAAAGCGTCCAATTTAAAATGCTTTTACAATATTTACAATGGAAATTATCGCTTAAATGAACACGTGTATTCTATTATGTGAAATTTTACATGAAAGTCAATAATTTTTAATAATCCTTGCACGAGATAGTCGACATAAGCTGGACGGCTGGATAATACACATCACATGCCCGCCGCTCATTATTACTCAAATTCACTTACAGTGCTTTCGTTTGGCCAATCAAAGTATATACATGCAGTATATTATCAAAACTTATTATTTTCTTATTATAATCGGCAACAACTTAGTACCAAACAATAGTCATAGCTATTTTGAAGCTTCATTTGGCTCTCCTGATCGAAACACCGTAACTCTCGAACCCCCGCCAATTTGGCAAGCTTCTGTATTTTGTCCAAAAAGTCGTTAGCAACCCTCCGATTACTTCCAGAAGGGAAAATGTAGTATTTTCAGCACATGACCACCTGAAAAAGACATTTTCTGTTGGAGAAGACCATCGATACCTGACTCATCCTTGGGAATCTCAGTCCTACATTTACGTCCTGGAGTATTCAGCGGCGGTAATGGGTCGCAGAAGCAAAGGGGCGTCCTGGAATGGTACAGGATTCAGATTACTTCCGCAGCATTGAAGATTGGACGGTATACAACCTTCCACACAGAACTCGTTTCGTAATTCATCAATTTTTCGGATGCACCCTATCGCTGGTTCGAAATAGCAGTTAATTTCTAACATCGATGTTAGCTTCACACCAACCACTCTCCACTTAGTTGCAGGTAGATATTATCTAGGATTAGATCTCAGCCCTTTCTGTGTGGTTAAAAAATTCAACTACGCCGATTAAAACAGCGCTATTGATCTTTACGCAGCATGGTGATGCTTTTCGGGACAATGTACGGTTTCGTCATTTTTTCTCAAAGTGGGTTTTTTTGCGTATCGGTACTCCTTTTGTTTATAAGTTATCCATGACAGTTTCCAAAGAATCTCCCTCGATGCATGCGCCACCCGTGACGACTTCTGGTTCTACGGGACAGTCGCGTAGCGGACTCACTTCTCAAATAGGAAACAGACCTGTGTATCAACCCTAGCGAATAGACGATTCGATTTTAATATGACGTGGTGATGAACTTTAGGTTCTCTAAATCCTGTCGCTTCTCGGAAATCACAGCAACTCTCGGGTGGTTTTTGCCCCACTTCTTCTCTAGGTATCAGAGAAATGTCGTCCCTATGTCCAGAGTTTTGCAGCGTTAGGGGTGGGTTAGGTCAAACAGAGGGTTTCTTCCGAAGTTGAGATTGCGCCTGCACAGTTTTGTAAATTGGGTCATTATTTGGCAGGATACACATTTTGTATATGGGCGAGTGGTTTTGGAATACTGTTTGACATTTTAAATACGTGTGAAAGCTGAAGGCGCCGGTGAGTCGTGATAGATAAATTCAAATTACAGGGAGATTTTATTTATTTTGCAGTTGTTATCGAAAGTGCTACGTAGCGTGCGAATTGCTGATTGAGAGGGATTTCACTTCACGTGGAGTAAATTTATAGATTTGGACGGAAAAAATAATATTTATTGAGGGAAAGAGTTGTGCATGCTGTGGGTGTCAATTAATCGATCGGTTCGGAGAAAACCGTCAGAAAATTCAATTTAAGCGATCGAGATTATTAGAATCTGCGAACAATAGTGGATATTTCACAAACTCTAAGCAAAGTGGGATTGCAAAATACTAGACACTACTGCGAGTACGTGAAATTAGACGCGCGGAATAGTATTTTACATTATTAGCCAGGTAAATGAGTTTTTACTGGCGATAGGAGAAGTTGACTAGCGAGCCGTTAGGCGAGCTTGTCATCTCCTAGAGCCAGTAAAAACTATTACCTGGCGTATAATGTACAATATTTTATTTGTTACTCATTTGTAAACGTAAATAATTAGTTCTTAAATTGATTTCGAAGGAATGTCTAAAATATCATATTATCCATGTAACAGAGACTTCGCATTAATTCTGGCCAATGAAATTACTAGATTACTAACTTGTAAAATTTTTACAAGTCTGCTGTCAGTTTTACAGGTCTGCTATCAGTTTTACAAGTCAGTAGCGTTTAAACATGACGTTTACCCGTTTGCGTTTTGTCTTGTTAATCAACGTTTACAACTGAGTAACAAATAAATAAATTAAAGTGTCCTAAAGGTGAATGAACTAACAATATCACTACATTACGTCATTTTTCAACCGTCTTCAGTGGTTGATTGTGCGCAAATACTTTGCTTTCCCCAATGATGTTGATACTTACCTAAATTCTAAATTTTTGTGGGAGAGAGTTTCAACTTCAGAACAAAAAAATCATTTATTATATGTATATGTATAATAAGGTAGCCGGACGTATTTTTATATTCCAAATAAACCAATTCCTTTAAGGGCGTTGAAAGTTTGAATTTTTATCATTTAAATAATAATGGGAACTTCAAAAGATTCGGTCAATTATTTCAAGGGAAATTAAAGCTTTTACATTGAATTTATAATAATAATAATAATGATGCCTTTATTGAGTAGCAGCTGCAAAATATAGAAAAGAAAATGATAGTAATAATTACAGTTCAAAGGGCGGATATTATAGTTTAGATTATAGTTAGATTACGTCAATCCTCCAGCCGAGTTCAATTTCAACTTATCAATTTTACTTCTTCTCCTTCTTTCTATCTATGGTTAGTCTTCCAATATCGTAATTAAATTGAGGGGGTACAATACAAAAATAAACCGAGCTGTGATACGTTAATATGTTAAAAATGTCCAGGTGCAGGTCTACAACTTTATCAGCAAATGGTGTCCACAAAAACACCGACTTAATGCAAATCCCAAACCTCGTCCCAAACAATAAAATGGCTACGATGCTATTTCATAAATCGCAATAAGGCAAACTACAACGAACGCCAAAGAAACGACGACGCAATAAAACGGTAATTAATAAATACCTTTATAGTTGCATCGATCCGTGCGTTCCAAACCTTATCCAATCATCCATAAACTCGTGGATGCTTTTATGTGTAATGGTTTGGTTCCACCTCCAGGATTTGTATATGGTTTGGAACGCACGGACCGACCAAACTTCTGGGCGTGGCTTTTCATTGATTGTTTCTTTTAGGTAGAAATGAAGTTGATTTTCCAGCTATACTCTACACGGACCGATCACAGAATTCGCGGGTTACATTCCGTCGTGAGAATTTTCAAGTTTCACGTTTTTTTTCTTGGAAATGCTGCGAAAATCTTCGTCCGGGCGCAGCTACGGTTCTATGGAAATGATATTTGGCTTTCAACGTAATTTCGCTCTTCTAGTTTTCGCCTCGAAGAAGATTCGCAAAAAAAATGCACGGCTCGGCTCTGCGAACACAACTAGCGCAGATTTTGCACTGGGTGATGCCGTACAATCATTAGGGGGGGGTCATCATGTTTCATTCCTCCGACATCCCTGACTACAGGGACGCCGGAGGCGAGCTACTCAGGCTTGCCAGAGCCTCTTCGGCCAGAGAACGGGAATGTAAGGATAGGTAAAGTTAGGGATGGGAACGGAAGGAACAGCGTTATGGTGCTGAGGGGGAGAATAGTGCTGCTTTTCCTACTATATGCACGTGTCGGTTTCGTAAAATATAAACCAATCAACGGTTCATCTTACTACACTGGATTGTATAAATATCTATCTCGCGCTAGTATAAAGTTTATGTCATTCAACATTGATAACATATAGACGTATTTAACAACCTAATTCCGAATACATTCTGTAAAACACAAAATCATGTTTTTCTTGTTCCCGTTCCCGTTGGAATTTCGGAACGTATTTTACTACATCGGAAACCGTCGTGGGCATACGTAATTGATACGTTTGACCGTCTATTTTTTCGCGGTACACTACTAACCGGCGATTCCTTAACCGGCAATAACCAAATCGATCAGACAAATACTTTTCAAGATACGAATTATGAGGTTTCAAAAGAAACCAGAAAGAAATGAAGAATTTTTTAAATTTTAATTAACGACTAATAATAAAACAAAATTGTGCACGAATAAATTGCTTTAGTAATGAAGATTACATCCATATGAGTCTGTAAATATCTATTTTAATAGTCTGTTAATCTGCGTACAGATTTGATATATCGCCTAAGTGAACTTATCTAAACCTTAATTTTTGTATTTGCAATATAGGAGTGTCTTGGCCAAACCTACACCTATGCACTTCTATGGTTGAATGTCAGAAACTAAATTGTTAAAAGGTACAAAGCACAAAAAAGACAATTAATATAATCCAAATGAGGTAATTATAGCGGACTGAAGTGATTTATATCATTGACAACATTAATTATCACAAGTTGTTCGTTCGGGTTGAGCTTGCTTCTCACTATGACAAGGAAGATTAGGTATATTCATTAGACGACTAAACATTTTAGGATGCAATCGACATTGTTTATGTAATTAGAAGCAGACTAAAATGGAAAAAAGTTAATCGTACCATGACATTAAAGCCTAAAAGTTACTGTTATCCCTACATGTAGTATTTAGAAGCTCAACACTTACAGGTTTTCTAATTTTGATTTATTACGTTACGACCTTTACGTAATTTTCACTTCTGGTACGAAAGAGACTAATACCAGATTCGTTTACGTTAAGCTCAAAACTAGCTAACCATTTTAATGATTTTATATAAGAAGCAGGTAGGTATATAATTTACTGTAGCAATTAATATCGATCCATCACTACTAAAAGCAATTTAAATGTAAAGTATGTAAGTTACGCGTTTTCGTACTTTGGTATTCCAGCACGTTTGAATGATAAGTTCAATAGTTAACAATGTGTATGGGAATTAACGATTTATTGGGTTCCACATCAAAAGTTCCGTCATGTAAGTGCGAAAATATATACAGGCTCATTTAAATATTATGACTTTTATTCTTTTAGACAGAGAAACTGATTAATAGCCGACAAGGATTATTACATCGTATAATTTTATATATTTTCAGTCCTTTACAAGCGTTATTTTATCTGACAATTAATTACACTGGCCGATGATAACCTCGGCGAAAAATTATAGTAACTGTGTGCATCGATTGTGCGAATGTCTTCCATAAATTTCTTCATTTTAATATCAAAAAGTTAGTTTTATAGAAATTTATTTCCGTATTCGTGCGAACTCGACGGGGTACAAAGTAGTTAGGACTCAAATTTGGACATGGATTAACCGTAAACAGTTTCGAAAAATCGCGTTTCTAAATAGCAAAGAAAACACCAACATACCTAAACGTTCCAACTGTCCCCTTGCTATTTTCGATTATTATTTATGGACACCATATCGTATACCTACTCTAAACCCATAATCGAAACGATTCGCTTTTGGAAAAGTTTGCGCTTATTTCAGTTACTAAACGCTTGATTGATTGCCTATACGGCAGCATATCGCACAATACTAAAATATAATAGTTATATTATTTGATTGACCTTTGACACCCGAAGCTCAAAATCTAATCACTTCTTTCCTAAGGCAAGGTCTCCAATTGAGCTTTATACGTCAAGGCGACTTTGAGGAAGATCAGGGGACAAGAGTAAAACGCGGCACGGGCTCGGGAACAAAGGAAGCAGAGATATATACAAGTTAAAAAGTAATCGTAAACGATTTACATAAAGCGCATTTCCACTTGCATTCATTTCCCATTTGTAAGATGCAACTTCTGTTAAAATCGTAAAAATCCGGCCACAAATATGAAAGATAGCGTTGCACATGGGCAATCCATTGTTGACGTGCTACTTCAATTTCAGTTTATGAGAAGAATTTCATTTCAATGCTTTTCTAAATAAGAAAGTTGGAACTGCGCATGCGCAAACCTAAATTTTAAAACTAATTTACTATAACTAACTAATAAACTAAGATTTTCCTTTGTTCCAAGCGCCTAAGTATCAAATTTCACTTAAATAGTTCCATAGATAAAAAAGTTGGCACGGCGCATGCGCAAAATAAAATTTTGAAACTGGCGCTAGATTTTCCTTTATTCCAAGTGCCTATGTATCACATTTCATTTAAATTCTTCCAAAAATAAAAAAGTTGGCACTGCGCATGCGCAAAACTAAATTTTGAAATTGGCGTTTGATTTTCCTTTATCCCAAGTGCCTATGGATAAATTTCGTTTAAATTCTTCCATAAATAAAAAAGTTGGCACTGCGCATGCGCAAAACCAAATTTTGAAATTGGCGTTTGATTTTCCTTTATCCCAAGTGCCTATGTATCAAATTTCGTTTAAATTCTTCCATAAATAAAAAAGTTGGCACTGCGCATGCGCAAAACCAAATTTTGAAATTGGCGTTTGATTTTCCTTTATTCGAAGTGCTTATGTATCAAATTTCGTTTAAATTCTTCCATAAATAAAAAAGTTGGCACTGCGCATGCGCAAAACCAAATTTTGAAATTGGCGTTTGATTTTCCTTTATTCCAAGTGCCTATGTATCAAATTTCGTTTAAATTCTTCCATAAATAAAAAAGTTGGCACTGCGCATGCGCAAAACCAAATTTTGAAATTGGCGTTTGATTTTCCTTTATTCCAAGTGCCTATGTATCAAATTTCATTCAAATACTTTTATAATAAAAAAGTTTGCAATTCGGTTTATAAATGGTCGAGATGCGAAAAGGGCACTGTGAATTTTGAATCGATTCGACTCAACTTTTAGGCATTGCGTATTATATGGCTAAAGCTATGCCCATATTGAATTTCGTGCAATTCAATTCATAACTAACGGAGATGTCAAAGCGATCGGACATTATTTCTAAACAAAGTTATCGTTCACACGGACAGATAGAGGGACAGACAGACAAAGGAACAGACAGACGGACAGACCAACAGACAGACGACAGATAGCAATACAAAATTATAAACGATCTCTAGAATCGTTAATAAACGGCAAAAGTGTAAAATTATGGAACATGTAAAAAACGGTTTGTTGGTTTTTTTACAATAACTTTTTTTGCAATAAACGCAGAAAAAATTAGAACAATAGCGCTTAAGATAAAGAACTAGTAGTGTCTCAAAACGAGCGGACGGACGGACAAAGTGGCCACAATAGCGCATTTTTTTAATTGTGGAAATGCGCTAAAAATCAAAACAGGAACGAGCGGCTTCGAAAGCAAAAGGGGTACCCCTGTGCATCCAGGAAGGGTAAGAGCAGATCGGAAGTCGTGACTGTAAAATTGAAGAAAGAGAACCATGACATTCTCAAAGGTCAAACGGATGTGGAGGGAGTTAGCAAGAATGGGATTAACGATCTCCTTCTCAGGGCTGAAAAATGCAGCGGAAAGCTACAATCACGGATCGCAAAGTAAACCTGCTATTAAGATAACGGAACCTTAGAGGTCCGAGGTTTGGGCGACGTTAACCATGGTTGACGAAGTATTGAGGAAGAGGAGGAGGGATGAGAGGCACGTTGTCGCATACGCATAGAAAGAGAGGGCAACAAATCGCCTACGTACACGTGGACAAAACCTCGACTGAAAACCTAGGCCGGTAAAGATCAGGCCCCGGGTTATAAATGAGCTAACTGGACTATAGTCTAGAGCGCCACTTTCAGGGGGCTGGCAAGATGTGCTAAATTATATTTTTAGCGCATTTCCACAAAAATAAAAAAAAATGCGCTATTGTGGCCACTTTGTCCGTCCGTCCGTCCGTCCGTCCGCTAACTTTGCGACGCTACTAGTTTTTTATCTTAAGAGCTATTGTTCTACTTTTTTCGCTATTTGGTTCGTTATGGTGTCGAGTCTTGTACCAAGGAAGGAATTTTTTCTGTACCGCTTACAAAAAAAGTTATTGTAAAAAAAACAAAAAAACCGTTTTTTTACATGTTCTATAATTTTACACTTTTGCCGTTTATTAACGATCCTAGAGATCGTTTATAATTTTGCATTGCTATCTGTCGCCTGCCGGTTGGTCTGTCCGTCTGTTCCTTTGTCTGTCTGTCCATCTATCTGTCCGTGTGAACGATGACCTTGTTTAGAAATGTTCGATCGCTTTTACATCTCCGTTAGTTATGAACTGAATTGCATGAAATTCAATATGGGCATAGCTTTAGCCATATAATACGCAATGCAAAAAGTTGAATCGAATCGATTCAAAATTCACAGTGCCCTTTTCGCATCTCGACCATTTATAAACCGAATTGCAAACTTTTTTACTTATAAAAGTATTTGAATGAAATTTGATACATAGGCACTTGAAATAAAGGAAAATCAAACGCCAATTTCAAAATTTGGTTTTGCGCATGCGCAGTGCCAACTTTTTTATTTATGGAAGAATTTAAACGAAATTTATCCATAGGCACTTGGGATAAAAGAAAATCAAACGCCAATTTCAAAATTTGGTTTTGCGCATGCGCAGTGCCAACTTTTTTATTTATGGAAAAATTTAAACGAAATCTGATACAGAAGCACTTCGAATAAAGGAAAATCAAACGCCAATTTCAAAATTTGGTTTTGCGCATGCGCAGTGCCAACTTTTTTATTTATGGAAGAATTTAAACGAAATTTGATACAGAAGCACTTGGGATAAAGGAAAATCAAACGCCAATTTCAAAATTTGGTTTTGCGCATGCGCAGTGCCAACTTTTTTATTTATGGAAGCATTTAAACGAAATTTGATACATAGGCACTTGGGATAAAGGAAAATCAAACGCCAATTTCAAAATTTGGTTTTGCGCATGCGCAGTGCCAACTTTTTATTTATGGAAGAATTTAAATGAAATGTGATACATAGGCACTTGGAATAAAGGAAAATCTAGCGCCAGTTTCAAAATTTTATTTTGCGCATGCGCCGTGCCAACTTTTTTATCTATGGAACTATTTAAGTGAAATTTGATACTTAGGCGCTTGGAACAAAGGAAAATCTAACATTAGTTTTAAAATTGAGGTTTGCGCATGCGCAGTTCCAACTTTCTTATTTAGAAAAGCATTGAAATGAAATTCTTCTCATAAACTGAAATTGAAGTAGCACGTCAAAAATGGATTGCGCATGTGCAACGCTATCT